GGGGGGGGTAATGTATGCCAGTGGCATTCCTATCGAACCCACTGATGACATTAAAAAGTCGTCACAGTACAAAATTGTGTTCATGGGTGTCACCACAATGAACCGGCTACTGACACAGCATTACAATGGTGTGACACGGCCAATGATCTATTTTGGTTCAGGTCATAGCTTTGCTTTGCGCCTGTCCACGTTGAGGATGTAAGTCTCTTCAGCATCAACTTCCTCCATCATGGCCATCCCAAACTGTGGTATGTACCACTGTTTTAAACATGAGATTGTTTCTCTTCTTTTAGTCATTGTCATCATTTTTTATTTTACATCTTTAATTCAGGTTTGTCGTTGAACCAAGCAATGTCAACAAACTCAGAAACTGTCTTCTGGATGAAAAGACCATTAGCGGTCATAGCTCCTGCCCCAATGGACCGCTAGGGCACAAGTATTTTATACCAACAGCAAAATGGATGGATGAGAAGAAAATAAAATACAATGTGGTAAGGAGACTAAGATTATTCAGCAAAGCATTCACCCAATGACAGACTTGTTCATCAGCTGATGATCACGATTATTCATTTGCACAGATCATACAGAGACCCAGACAGGCCGTTGTGCTCTACCCCAACGCGGCCCATTGGGTCATCAACTTGGGCAATAACTGTGCGGAGGCCTCCAATTTCCCCTCAATGATGTGGCTTCCTTACGGCTTGGCAAGCCTCAAATGCCACTGCATGTAAGTTATACATCACTGCGGGCCCAGACAGGTGGTTCTGATGAACCGAAGCAGTCACCTTAAAATTCTTTTATCATTGCAGTGGTACTGAAGTCCACATGGACCTCAGGAGGATGGTATCCGCACTGAAGCCAGAGTGGCTTGACTGCCTGAAAAATGGGCTCGTCCCAAAGGACATTAAAGAAGAGGAAAATCCTAAGTTTTATGATCGGATTATCCTGGCATGCAGATGCACTGTGGTAAGTCTGACAACCGTTTACAATTTTAAGGTTCTAATGAGGTAATGACTTTTATCAAAATCTGTTTGCCGCAGAATGCACAAGTAGACGACAGAGTTCAGCCAGAAGCCAATGAGGATAGTGACGAGGAGGAATCTGAAGAAGACGAGGAGGATCTTCCAGAACTACCAAAAAAGCGATTCCGAATGGAATACAAATGCACGTTGACGGTCTGTTCCCAAATATTCAAGGGAAGGAAGAAGAATAACCTTTGGAATCATCTTCAAACTCATGCCCATGAGCCCAATTTCCAAGAGTGCGTAGCAGAGTACAAGACCAAATATGAAAAAGAAGATGTAAGCAAGAAGATGCCCTGCAATTTGTGTGGAAAAATGATAACAGCCCACCCACCCAACATGAAGACACACCAGGCTAGAAAAAACTGCAACAGAGAGGACAATTAGCGATTTATTTTATTACTTTTTCTTCTGTACTAGGTAGATGTACGCCAGACCACGTCTCGCGTAACAGGCTTCGCGATATCTCACGAAACACTGTTACGCTGCGACGCGCCTGGC